CGGTTCGTTTTTTTTAACCGAACCGGAGCAAACCAGTAGCATTTCTCTCCTGAATCATTGTCTTCTAAACCAAGAAAATATGCAACAGGAAAGCTGTAAAAAACAAAAACAAAACATGGACTATATTCTACCGTCATTAACATCTCAATAGTTTCAGCTCCCGTATGCAAACCCCCACCCCCACCCCACCTTTGCCCTGTGAATCCCAACGCACCTTTGGTGTTTAGCCAAGTGCCGTTGACTTGGCTGCGGTTATCCCGGAGCAGGTGACTAAATTACCCTGAAATCAGGCAGAAAATTTCCTCTCCTGGTCACTGAAGTGAAATCTGTCCACTGGTCAAGTGGCAAAGCCAACTGCCGTCTGAGAGTCCTGAGAACTGCCACTTCCGATAAGTCAAGTCTTCAACGAGCGTGAAACGGTCTTCTTTCATGACGATTGCGTTTATTATGTTTATTTCAGTTGATCTATTTAGCCAATGTGAATTGGTCAGCACCCTGGCCTTTGGATGTGTTCCATCTGTGGGAAACCATGCTAAAATATCAAAGGACCTGTCACTGCCGATTTATTCATCATCCCAGTGTAGGGTTGACCTACATAAGCGAGAACATATTCTTCGAGAGGGGGCAGCCAGTGTGGTTTGGAAGGCAGAGAATAAGGAGAGAAAAGCGGGGGAAATATCTCAGCTAGAGTACACTGTGGTAAATGTTTTATTTATTTAAATGTTGTATTTATTCTTCTTTTCTGCTATTGCTAGAAGAATGGCCTATAAAAGAACAGGAGTATCGGAGAGCAGGAAATCAAGGATTGCAAAAATCCAGATGCTGGGTATTTGCAATAAATTAGTATATCAATACAAATATTTATTTGTACCCCAAAATAAGACATCCCCTGATAATAAGCCCAATCGGGCTTTTGAGCGCATGGCAATAAGGCCAAGCGCTTATTTTAGGCTTCAAAAAAATATAGAATCTGCACAGAATCTTGGCTAGAGGTTCTCCCGAACCCTTGCGAACCCCAGCAGCCCGTCCCTGGTTCTACCTGATAATAGATAGCAGAAGACGTTTTGAAGAAATATCTTCAAAGAAAAAAAAAACAGAAAGTCCAGTTGCCTCTTCAAAAAAGCACCTTTTGGGACAACCACGACCTGGATGACTGAGAATCCTCATAGACATCATCAGTGCAAGCATTGCGCTAACATCTAGCCTTGATGATGTTACCTAGTTTGGTAATAAGACGTCTGTAAGAAAACCACCAAGCTCAGAGAGCACCAAGGACTCCCGCAAGAATCTCTCTTGGATACAATCAGTTGAAGCAATTGCTGTTGCTGGCTAGTATGGGAACAGTGGTGCCAAAGAATTGGGAAATTATAATTAAATTGGCAGAAGAAGCCACATTAATTCTTTCTCTCCGTAACTTGTAAACCTGTGGAATAGCTGCTGTTTGGGTTAGCTAGAACATATGAAGAAGACCTCTGATCCATCTGGGACAAATAGCTGCTGAGAGAGACAGTTCTTGTTCTGTCAGAAATTGTTTGCTGTTCAGGGTGGATCAATGAACATGTATTCATTTATTCATATGAAAAATTCTATCCTGATTTTCTTTTCTTTTCTTTTCTTATTTTGAGCTCAGTGCATTGCTGTTTATAGAACTTCTGAGATCCATGCACAGTTTAAAGAGTTTAAAAGGTGGAGGTGGGGACGACTACAAGGCTAAAATCACTTAGAAGAAACAATTACACACAGACACACACAAACACACAATTCCTGATAAAAATGTTAAAAGTTGGAAGATGCTGCCAGTTAGCATCTAAGCCCGTGACGGCGAACCTATGGCACACGTGCCACAGGTGGCACACGTAGCCATATCGGTGGGTACGCGAGCTCAGCTCCGGCACACCAGCTGATTTTCGGATCTTCTGGGCCCCCCAGAAGTAGGGAAACAGGCTGTTTCCTGCCTCCAGAGGACCGTGGGAGGTGGGGAAGGGCCATTTTTCTCTCTCCCCGGCCTTCAGAGCCTTTCTAGGAGCCTGGGGAGGGCGAAAACTGCCTTCCCTACACACACACCCAAACGGCCCGTTTGCCAACTTCCGGCCCCACCTAAGAACCCCTCCCCGACTCCTGGCACGCAATGGCAAAAAGATTAGCCTTCACTGATCTATGCTTTGTGTTGTTTACGGAAACTATGTTTTTACCCCCTAAAATCAAATCCTTTGATGAAGAACATTAGCAGATAGAGTCACAGTGTAGGAATGAAGATAGAATCATAGGGCTGGAAGGGACTTTAGAGGTTTTCTAGTCCAACCCCTTGATAGGTATGAATAGACCTATCAGTCCAATCTCCTGCACAGAATTTATTAGACCATTTTCCCCTAAGGAAGAACTTCCCAGTTTCCTCTACCGAAAAGCAAACATAACAGAACTCTGTACTGATTTCTGAAATAAAACAGCACAGGATGGTGTACAAAGTCCAGGGAACTCTGTAAAATTAAAATTAATTTCACATTCATAAAATTGCCAACCTGGAGTTGCAGCGTTCTGGGGTGGCCAGGCAGAAGATCCTAACTTTGTCCTAATCAAGTATGCTCCTTTCACACTTGGGATACTGAGAAGGCCCTCTCCATCAATAAGAGGTGTGGCTACCCTGGATCTAAGGCTTTTTTTTTTTTTTTTAAATTTGATTTATATGCCGCCCTTCTCTGAAGACTCAGGGCGGCTTACAATGTGCTCAGCAATAGCCTTCATCCTTTTGTATATTTATACAAAGTCAGCTTATTGCCCCCACAAACTGGGTCCTCATTTCACCTACCTTAGAAAGGATGGAAGGCTGAGTCAACCTTGAGCCTTGGCGAGATTCGAACCCTGCAGTAATTGCAGGCAGCTGGTCTTAATAAGCTTAATAACAGGGTGCCTTAAACCCCTGTACTACCAAGGCTCTTTAGAGCTTTAAAGATATTTTAAAAATTTCTCTGCATAAAATAACCACAACTTAATCCACTCTGGATATAAAACAGGTGTCACCATAGCAAGTTTACTGTCACAATGATTATTGCATTAAGAAGAAAATTCCAGACCTGTCCTTTGAGTCCTTCCTTCCTTCCTTCCTTCCTTCCTTCCTTCCTTCCTTCCTTCCTCCCTCCCTCCCTCCCTCCCTCCCTCCCTTGTCTCTCTTTCCTTCCTTCCTCCCTCCTTTCCTCCTTGTTTCTCCTTCCTTCCTCCCTCCCTCCCTCAAATTAATCTTCCCTGTAAGTATCCTAACACTCTTCTTAACTATGCCTAAGTTTCACACTGCCCTTTTCCAAATTCAGAACACATGTACCATGTTTCTCCAAAAACACGACCCACCCCAATAATAAGCCCAACCCTAATTTTTTTGGGGTGGGCCTAACATTACCCCTACCCTAAAAATAAGCCTGGGGGGATGGCCGTGGCCAGCACAAGTGGCGGTGCGGGGGGGTATGCAACTGTCCAGCTGCAGCCCGCTGGCCCCTTGGGGTAGCGCAAATACCGCTTTTGCCCTTCTTTTTCTGGGCATAGCGCTTCTACTTGTTGGGCCGCTTCCCCAAAGCTGGCAGCTCCGCGGCCAGCTGCTTTGCTTTTCCCTTGTTTTTGGGAAGCTCGCGGGAGGCTTTTTGGAGAATGGGAGGAAAATGGGGAGGGGGATTTTTCTGCCTGTCATCCATTCCTCAAGCTCAGCACAACCCGAGGGAAGGATGGCAGGCAGGAAAATCCCCCTCCCCATTTTCCTCACGCTAAAGGTTCGGAATGGAGGCGACGATGCGTCCACGGCGCGTCCAGCTCACCGAGTCTGGCCTGGCTGCACCTCAAAAAAAGTAAGACCACCTCGAAAATAAGCCCAAATGTTTATTTTCAAGTCTAAAAGAAAATAAGACTCAGGCTTATTTTCTGAGCAACACAGTATTTTCAGCTCAGCTCAGAGTTCCAGAGACTTCCGGAGTAGCTGGAACAATCGTAGAATAAATCTGATGAAATTGGAATCCAGGTATTTCAAACTAAAAGCATGATTTGAGATTGAAATACAGGGTTAGGGTTGCAAGAACAATTACCCATTATTATTATTTCACTCTTTAATGATCAAGAGATAAGTGCACCGTAAATGTTTGTGTTTATTTCTCCCCCCTCAGTTCTGCTTCATCTAAATTAAATATCCTTCCATTGACAGACAGAGAGGTCAATCAATGTGAACGTAGCACTGGTTATGATCCTATGGATAATTGTTGTAAGGGTCCTTTGTCGTTGTAATTATTTCACCTTGTACAACCTATTGCTAGCATTGTTAGAAAGATATTACTGCGGCATTTCATTTTGAAGTTCCGTTTGCTCTCCTGACCAAACATTTGTGGCTTGCCAATATTTGAGATACAGTATGTTAGATAACTTGTACTATTATTTTTTTTAATCCAAAACTGGTGGAGACAACTTTGGGTGGTGGGAATTGGATCAAAACAGGCAGGAAAATGGATATTGGGCACCCATATGGATGGCAGAAGATAAACGAAGATATTAAGAGCATTATTTAGTAACTAGCTGAATACCCATGCTCCGCTATGAAACTATGTGATTGGGCTTGATAAATCGACACTTACAGTTTGAAAATTAATGAGTAGTGACGATCGGCCTCTCCCCTCCCCTTCTCTCCCTCAGCCTTGCTTAGCTCAACTGTTTTGTAGTAAAGCTGCTTGCTGCTGTGAAAGTAAAACTGAAACGCCTCTCCTCTGCTTGTGTTTTGCATTTGGAACAGATTTCTTTCCAGGAGGGGAGGGGGAGTAGAAATCCTTAGCATCAGAGCGTGTTAATCATAATATAGGAAATACTAATGCTCTGATGGTCATTTCAAAAAATCCTTTCTTAGTGAGCACTTAGAAGCCAAGAGGAACATATATATATATTCAGTGCAGGGTTAAGCTCAGCCATTATTCCTTAAATTAGAATATTCCCATTTCATACTGTATCAATGCTTTTAACAATGTTTTTCTTTACAGACATAAGGACTTTGTTTTTCCCTGATGAAAGCCACGTAAAGTTTGCAGAGCTCAAGACTCTTCAAATACAAGGTGTTTACTCCTCCTATTTGTGTCTTTTGTGACTTAACACATTCTTTTCTCTGCAGCAGGAGCTGTTAGCATGAGGTTTTGGTATTGACTATTCTTTCATCCACAAACGTCTCTCTCTCACATCTATCTCCTTGAGTTTGATTTTTCTGAGGCATTGATTTGTTAGAGCTGTAGTGGCGTCCTTCCTTCCTTCCTTCCTTCCTTCCTTCCTTCCTTCCTTCCTTCCCTCCCTCCCTCCCTCCCTCCCTCCCTCCCTCCCTCCCTCCCAGTGGTTAGAATGCAGTATTACAGGATAATTCTGCCCACTGTCAAGAGTTCGATCTTGACCAGCTCAAGGTTGACTCAGTCTTCCATCCTTCCAAGGTCGGTAAAATGAAGACTCAGATTGTTGGGGGCAAGAGGCTGACTCTCTAAACCGCTTAGAGAGGGCTATAAAGCACTGTGAAGCAGTATATAAGTCTTACGTGCTATAGCTGTTGCTACTTTCGGTTGGAGTTGATTAAAAGGAAGAATTTGTTTCTACAATTGGCCATAGGAAACCACAACGGAACAATTCTGAAAGATGTTTGGGAGTGTGTCTTTCATTAGGTAAAAGCCCAAGGGGACAATTCTTTATATGGAAGAATATTAAACAATATTATGGGATGCTACCCAGTTTTTTTGGAAATTGAAAAGCAAGGATGCCCAGTTTTTCCAGACCCAGGTTCTGTTCATCTTTACATGAGATAAAGTCGTAATCTGAGAAGAAGTGAAGCTGGGACAATTGAATTGACAGTATATTAAAATCAGAGAAAAGGAGTTTTTAAAATTGTTTTTCCAGTCATGAAGTATATACGACTACAATGGAGCACAAAATCCCCATTGCTACACTTGTTAAGTGAGTAGTGTTCCATGTTACGATATTTTTGCCACCGTTGTTAAGCGAATCACTGCAGTTCTTAAGTGAATCATGTGGTTATTAAGCGAATCTGGCTTCCCCCATTGACTTTGCTTGTTGGAAGTTGGCTGGGAAGGTTACAAACGATGATCACTATAGCAATAGCACTTAGATTTATATACCGCTTCATAGTGCTTTGCAGCCCTCTCTAAGTGGTTTACAGAATCAGCCTCTTGTCCCCAAACAATCCGGGTCCTCATTTTACCAACTTCGGAAGGATGGAAGGCTGAGTCAACCTTGAGCCGGTCAGAATCGAACTGCTGGCAGTCGGCAGAATTAGCCTGCAATTCTTGTGGCCTGTGCAGCTAGTAGCTGATTCAGACAGCGAGGAGGCTGGTGTGGTGCTGCGCCAGCAGCCTGGGCAGCTGGCACTCGAGTCAGAGAATGAGGAGGCTGGAGAAGATATGGTGCCAGAGGCAAGGACTCAGCCAGGGCCTTCAGAACCTCCAGAAGCTCCTTTAAGTGAAGAGGACGAAGAGGAGGAGCCTCTTCTTGATGCAGGGGCATGCAGAGCTGCCAAAAGGCAGGAGTGGCTCCTCAGGAGGAGGTCTCCTGAGAGTAAGGCTTTGGGCTAATTGGCCACTCCCTTAGCCTATTTAAGGAGGAACGCCAACTGAAGCAATTTGCAGGGAACAACTTCGTTTACATACCTTTGTGTTTTGTCTTGCTTATCTTATCAGCTTCCTGCAAATTGCTTCTGGGCATTCTGCCAACCACAGTAAGCTTTCGGTATTATTCTTTGAATTCTTGGCGGCTGTTAATGCAGTTAATTAACAGTTGTTGTTGTAAAAAACTGGTTTATTTAGTAAACTAAGGTTTGAACGGACTTTGTGTGTGCTGAGTTCTTTGGGATCCGTAGCTGGGGCAGAACAGCAATGCTGCATTCAAACCACAGCTCTTACATGAATCATCACATAAGGTTGGGCCAGTGCAGCTGTCCTATGTACATGCTGGCTATCAAGAAGATCTAGGCCAACTCGCCGCGGGACAAGAGCGAGACTAATATCGAAGAAATGGTGGAACAGAATCATTAAAGAAAGGATGCGAAAGGAGGGGGAGAGACTGAAATGCGAATGAAAAGAAAATAATTTTTACATTATTTTAAATAATTGAATTGAATTGTTGAATGGTGACATAGTCCCATGGCGAGTTGGCTGCGGCAAGTTGTCCATGTCTGTGGAGATGCTGCAATGGTCACAAGAGTGAGAATTGGTCACTTTTTTCAGTGCTGTTGTTACCTTGAATGGTCACTAAATGAATGGTTGTAAATTGAGGGCTACCTGTACACTTCTAACTTATTTTGATTAGGATACGCTTTCATAGTCTCGGTTATTAGTGGTTTATTCAGTAAACATTGGTTAAGCAAACCACGGCATAATATGCTATTTGAATGTGCTGGGATTTTTGAAATATCTGAGAGACAAATTCAAGATTGCACCTCCCATACTTGTAATCCTGCTATAAAATCCAGCTTTTTATGATTTATTAATCTCAAATTGGTGATGTAGGAATAGGAAGACTTGTCGTAGATACTCATGAAGTTACTTGAGTTATGGAAATAGGCTGCAGGAAGTCCTCGGCTTACGACCACAATTGAGCCCAAAATTTCTGTTGCTAACTGAGACATTTGTTGAGCGAATTTTGCCCCATTTTACAACCTTTCTTGCCACAGTTGTTAAGTTAATCACTGCCGTTGTTAAGTTAGTAATGTGGTTGTAAAGTGAATCTGGCTTCCTCATTGACTTTGCTCGTCGGAAGGTTGCAAAAGGGCATCACATGACCCCAGGACTTGGCAACCATCATAAATATGAACCAGTTCCCAAGCAGCTAAATTTTGATCACATGACCATGGGGATGTTACTATTGTTGTAAGTGTGAAAAACGGTCATAAGACACTTTATTCAGTGCCCTTTGAACAGTAAATGTTGTAAGTCAAGGACTACCAGTATTTCCATCATGTCCTATCACAGTGATGGCAAACCCTTTTGGCACCAAGTGCCCAAACCAGAATGCACATGCATGCGCTGGGCATCAGAAACCGAAAACGGCCCGGAAAATGGCCCGGAAAATGGTCTGAGAAATGGCCTGAAAAACAGCCCAGAAAATGGCTTCAAAATGGCCTGAAAACAGCCTTGAAAATGGTCTGAAAAATAGCCTGAAAAACAGCCCAGAAAATGGCCTCAAAATGGCCTGAAAACAGCCCAAAAATAGCCCAAAAAAATGGCCCAGAAAATGGCCTGAAAACGGCCTGGAAAACGGCCTGAAAATAGCGTGGAAAATGGCCCAGAAAATGGCCTGAAAACAGCATGGAAAACGGCCTGAAAATCGCCCAAAAAATGGCCCAGAAAATTGCCGGAAAATTGCCTGGAAAATGGCCTGAAAACAGCCTTGAAAAACAGCCTGAAAACAGCCCAGAAAATGGCCTGAAAACAGCCCAGAAAATGGCCTGTTTTTTGCCCGTTTTTCAGGCTGTTTTCAGGCCGTTTTCTGGCACTCCGGCCCCCACGAAGACCAGCTGGCTGGCTCGCCAGAAACCAGAAGAGCAGCTGGTGATGGCGCACGTGCCCACAGGGAGGGCTCTGCGTGCCACCTCTGGCACCTGTGCCATAGGTTCGCCATCACAGTCCTATCAGGTTTAAGGTCCAATTTGGGGCGATTGACAGATACATCGAAAGAATGAAAGATCTGCATGCTTCAACCGGCCCAAAGTTAGGAGGGCAAAGAGGGAGAATAGAAGTGGCCATAGAACGGCTTAATGTATGGGAAAAGATGGATGTTCTCACATCTGGCTCATCTGGATTAGCAGTTAGTCGTGGATGGTAGAATGAACATGTTCATGATAGTCAAAAAAAAAAAAATGTCTCCGTTTTGTACTTTGCAAAAAAAGTTGAACATGTTCTGTGTTCTCCGTTCCGAGGGTAAAACATGAAACTAGATATTTAGCTAGTTTCTTTTTTTGTTTGTTTTTCTCGTTGGTGCTTCTATAATCTTTTAATTTCCTTCCGAGAAAAAGAAAAAAAAAATCCATTTGAATCTCAGAGCAAGAGTAGAACCTGCTAATTGAAATTATAATAAAAAAGAATAATTCGAAAGGGGTAGGTTGGGGTGAAGAGCATTCATCTGGGATTTGGGCAGATGCATTTTAAGCCTATTATTTTTGAAAATAAGTTTTCTGTTTAAAAGGCAATAAAACCAAACTAAGTTGGTTACGAGAGGATGCTGGTTTTTTTTCTTTTTCTTTTCATCTTTGGATTCTGCTATTTTTCTGCTATTATTATTTTTTTTTTAAGCTTTGCATGAATAGCTAAATGTTTATAAACAGAAGCTAAAAGTAATTGGAACACCCGTGGAATGTTGTATTTTAATAGGCTTCATCATAAATGTCCCCCCACTTTTTAGAGACGGGTCAAACTACTGTATGCATGCAGCTTTATGTCTTTCCCTGTAAAATCATCTCACCAGAAATTTTGCAGCCTCCATGCTTTTTCACACTTTTATGCCATCTCTGTTCTGACCTAGGCTTCCTGAGACAGTAAAAAGCACACGATTAGTCCCAAAAACCCTCTCTTTATTTCAACGGCTGTGAATTCTGTTCATTCACAGCCCGAGATGAGTCACAAATAGTTTGTAAAGAGTTCGACAGAAGTCTGCCGCAGTCCTTCGGGGATAAGCACCCACCTTTATCTCCCTTGACACGCTGCCAAAGACCTAATTGATAATTAGCTTTGCAAGGCCACACGGAACTAAGAGTCAAAACGGAGCTTCAGAATTTTGTTCTTTGTTCGACCAGCACGAACAAAGTTGCTTCCTGCAAAGATTCACGTGCCTTTGTTCCTCCTTTATGTCTTATGGGAAGGGCCAATCATCTCTAAGCCTTACTCCTGAATTGCCCCTTTTGTCTTAACTGTTCTTGCCTTCTGGCAGCTCTGCGCATGCACGCACTGGGAACAGGCTCCCCCTATTCCTCTGCCTCACTGACGTCAGACTCTTGAGGCTCCGGAGTCAGCACATAACTCGCAGATGGCCCTGGCCCCATCTCTGCCTCTGACGCAGAGCCCTCATC